TTATTTTTCAAACGTCTCTTATTATTAATTCATGTCTAAAAAATTTTATTTTGAGCCTAGAAAATGAGGGATATATTTCCTAATGATCCTTTTGATTAGGGAATCATTAATACTGGTAAAAATTCCTGATATTAAAGACATTTTTTCTCTTCTTTTTTGAAGCTTAGGGCATAAAACTCTTATATATATAGATAAGAAAACCTAGACTTTCTGTCATAATTTGAATGGAATAACTGAAAGGGTAAAGATTTCCTAAACATGAAAACATTTCAATGATGTTACAAGTTACAAGTATATATCCATTAAGTGTATTTTAATAGCATACTTGAAATTAGAAACTACAGGCATCAAACAATATATGTTGATGATATTGTAAAATATATATATATATATATATATATATATATATATATATATATATATATATGTTCATCACTAAACTTTATTATTCTCCATGGACTTAGTCTTATGAGGTTAAAAAGGTAAATAATAAGGAAATGTTTAGTTCTAACTAGATTGCTAATATATATTTAAACAGTATTCTGCCTTTTCTCTAGTGATCACAACACAGGAATGGGAATAAGCTTACCTTGATTTATGCTGATTTTAATTTTTAGCCCTTTTGTAATCAGTGGTTTGTTTTTATGGATTATAACCATAAGCATCTATTAATTATTTTATTATTTCTTTAATTTCAAATGACCAGTTATGAAATATTTTCTTTATTCTATAGGTCCCTCTTTGGTGATTAGATCATCAACATGTAAAACACATGATAATATGTAAGTTTTACACATAGTAAAATAAGACTAATGGGGAGTATTCATTCTTTATTTTTTGTGTATTCACTCATGTGCTCCAGGATTTATTTAGTTTCTTTGATGTTCCCAGTGATAATACCAAGTAATGTTGACAAGAGAATGAAAAACAACAAAATTGCAAATAATCTTCTGCTTAGACCTCTATAACAGGTATAACAGGTAACCTCTTTCCTTTAATCTTAAATGTTATCTATTTATTAAAACTCTATTATTTTAAGTACATTTGCATTTTATGAATGCTTCACTTTTATAGGTTTTGCATTTAACACTATTATACAAACTCAGGTAAGACTTTTGTGTGGAAATTCCCAATTTTCTTTTTTAAAATTTTATTGATTCTTTTTAGTTATACATGACAGTAGAATCCATTTTGACATAATTATAAAAGCATAGAATATATCTTGTTCTAATTCAGACCCCATTAGCTCTCCTTGCCCTCCCCCTAGCCTTGCTCCCTTCCTCCTACTGATCTCTCTGCAGTTTACCCATAGTTATTTTTTAAATTAATTTCTTGTGGCCATATATGATGTTGAGGTTCACTGTAGTGTGTTCATATATATATATGCATAGAAAAGTTGTGTCAGATTCACTCATCAGTGCATAATATTTCTTTCAATCATTTCTTTTAAAATTATTAAACTAATGTTTTCCATATTTTATTGTTGACCTGAAAAAGGCGAAGATAAAATACTGCAGAATAATTTTCCCTTTCCAATTACCAATGTTCCTTTTATGTATCTAGCCAAAATTTTTCTTAAAGTGAAATAAATATTGGACTATCAAAACAGTCTTGGTGGGCTGGGTCTGTAGCTCAGTAGCAAAGTGTTTGCTTAGCATGTGTATGTAAGGCACTGGGTTCTATCCTTTGCACCATATAAAAATAAACAAAAAAGGCATTCTGTCCATCTACAACTACAAAAAAAAGTCACAGTAAAATATATCTTGTCAGCCAGGCACAGTGGCACACACCTGTAATCCCAGCAGCTAGGGAGGCTGAGGAAGGAGTATTGCAAGTTCAAAGCCAACCTCAACAATTTAGTGAGGCCCAAAGCAACTCAGTTACTCAGCAAGACCCTGTCTCTAAAATTAAAAAAAAAAAAAAAAGTTAGGGATGTGGCTCCGTCTTTAAACCTGCTGGGTTCAATTCCAGATTCCAAAGTAAATAAATAAATAAAGAGTATTATTTCACCTTGCTGATTTCCATACACTTTGCATAATGGATTATCTTTTGAAAAAAAACTAATTTTATGAATTATATAAGTGACATGAGATAAGACTTTATCTATTTTAAATTCATAAAACTGCGAACTGTGACTAAAATTTACTTATAAGGTAGAATTAATGTAAATACCTAGTGATATTGCATATTGAAAAAGCAGCTATGATTTAGAGATTATCATAATTTATATTCTTATATATTGTAGAAACATATACAAGATTTAACTATTTGAATATGATATTTATAATGAGAAATTATTTGTCATGCTAATAGTCTTAACTATATATAAGAATACTTTAATTAATTAGATATTATTTTTATTTATTATCTAGGAAGAATAATTTCCTATATAGTTAATGGATAATTTAAAACTTAGCTCATCATCTGCTCCTACTTTCAATTTATTCAATTTGAAAATATAATGAAGTTAACAATTTCCTAAGTTTGTGATTATTACTGTCAAATATAGAAAATCTGATTGTTAGCCAAGGTATTTTTTTTTCTTTTTGGTGATCATTTTTCCATATTTGTTGCTCTTATTGTATGGTTTAATCTTCCTTTTTATTATCTTCAAGCAATATCAGTATTTATTTCTATACTTGTCAAAATATGCCTGTTTCCTGAGTCTCTGATAAATGTACATTCCCCCACTTCTGACATAGTTGCTTTGTATTTTCTTTCTTTTTTTTTTTAAGAGAGAGTGAGAGAGTGAGAGAGGAGAGAGAGAGAGAGATTTTTTTTTAATATTTATTTTTTAGTTTTTGGTAGACACATCATCTTTGTTGGTATGTGGTGCTGAGGATCGAACCGGGGCCGCACGCATGGCAGGCGAGCGCGCTACCGCTTGAGCCACATCCCCAGCCCTGCTTTGTATTTTCATGAGTAAAAATAGTTCAAACATGTTATACCTGGTAGAAAGGGCTGGACCATGTAAATTTGGTTTAAGAGGCAGGTAACATGCTTTGTAGAAAGTATTTATAATCAGGATAATAATCCAAAATGACAAATGTAGGCAGTGGTGAATTCTTCTCATAGGACTAAACTACACAACACACCTTCTTGTCAAAGACTCACAGAATATATTGGGGTGTGTAATTATATGATCATATCAGGACTGCAACAACTTTGAAAACTAATTTGTGGTAAATGTAAAAGTGAGAATAGGAATGAGAAGAAGAGGTAGAAAATATGTGGTCTTATCTCCACCCACTCAAATTTAATTGTCAAGACAATTAGGAAAGATTAATGTTGACTACTCAAGAATGAATTCACTCTCCTTACTAGTTCCTGGTTCTGTGTATATATGTGAGCAAGCTGAATAAAGACAATACTGATGAATTTATATGATAAACATAATTTAATTGTGTAGAAACTTGATGTGAGATTTCTAAGAAGTCATTACTTACCAAAGTCAATATTTTAAATTTATGTTTAGAACACAGTGCATCTGGACACCTTTCTAAATAGTTTAATTCAAAAGTCTCATAGTTCTCTATTAAGTTGCTAACTTATAATGCATTTCTGTTTTCTAATTCCCCAGACTTTGGAAAATAATCTGCGAGAGAAGAATGCAGTGGATTGGGAGAGTCATGATGGTTCACATGTGGCTTCCTCAATCAAGGAAATGGTCACAACTCTGAAGAGAAATTTTCCATAGTAGAAGTACTCAGACAGATGTAATAAGAACTACAGCAAACATTTAGCCACAGAAAGACTGAAATGACGAAAGGGAGAGTAACATTTGTTAACATACTCCAAGTGATGGACATTTTACATAGCTTTCCTCATAAATTTTATCCACAATTAGAATGCATATAACATTAAGTAAGGACATGATGAGAGAGGAGAAGAGAAGATGAGAAGGTCGACTTGGAGATTTAAAAACAAATTGTTGACAGAAGTAACTATGGAAACTAAGAATAAGTGAATTCTTGAAAATATTAAGGTACTTCCTATATGATAGCTTCTCTAACTCATATCACAAAACACTGGGTCATTTCAAGGGAAAAAATAGGCAGCCAAAGCCATTTGACAGTCTTAGTGATTTGAATTTTGGAGAAATGAATGATATTTACCATAGGATATTTGCCCAGAATATTTTAATCTTCATCTTGAAAAATGCTGTGTTACAGGTCCTTCATACTATAATTTAAGTCAAAATATTTATTGTTTTGACTTCTGGAAAAAAGTATCTGACCACTATCAGTTCAATAATACTTTATTTTAACCTTTACATATTTCAATGTTTACCTTGCCTTGACGTTATTAAGATGGTTCCATATACAGAACATGTAGGATTATGCTTAGGTTTGAATTCTTTAATCTCAATGGAGGTCTTACTTCCTTAAAATATAGAGATCATAATTGGTCATATTCTAGAACTTAATAACCTATAACACATGGTTTTGTGTTACCTTGTTTGTGATTTGTTTGATTTAAATTACTGTTGCTTCTGCTTCTGGTACTTGTGGTGTAATATAACACCCAGACCCTTTACACCCTATTCAGAGATGATTCTAAAGTATAGGGAATTACAGAGATTCCCCACAAGAATTTTCCTTTGGAGGGTCTGAGCTACTCTATTCAAAGGATTCAAATTCTTTTTTCCTCTTCTTCAGATATCTGGTCCTCTTTTAAGGACTTTCTCTTTGATATGTGTTTAACTTTCACCAAGGCTGCCTTTGATATCTCTTTTAACTTGATTTTACCTGGAAACAAATAATGGGCAGGAGAGATAATGATCATTCACAGTGTAATTGCCCCAGGCTTGGCCTCTACTCTTGTGTATATCCTGACATCAACCATTCCATATTTGCGTAATTTGATCTTCAGATAATACTCCATGCTATTCTCTCTGACTACTGCTTTAATCTCCAAGTTTCTTTTTATTTATCCAAGGTTTTTCTCTCTAATGTCTTCTGTAAATTTAGTTCATTTGTTAAATGGGTTTCAGTATTTACCTGGTCTTGATCAGGTTGAGGAGGCCTCAAATTAGTTTCGAAAGCATATGCAGAATTATGCTGAGGTCGAAGTCCAGACAAACTCTTCTGTTCTCTGAAATATTAAAAGGATAAAACACACAATAAAGATAGAGCAGTTGCTTAATTGTCTGTAAATCACTTGTTTAATGAACTTTTTTGACAATACAGGATGTTTGTTTGAGTTTTAAGACTGTAACCATGAGAAAGCAAAAACAATAGTTAAAATTTGTGGGAAACTTAACATGAACTGACTTTATCCAAAATTTTATTTTAAATACTTTTAAGCATAAATCAAAGTTGAAAGAATTTTACAGTGAATGCTAATATATATTCCACCATTTTTACTATACATGTTTTAAAATGTATCTGTTCATCTATTCAACCCTCGATCCATCCATCTTATTTTCATGCAATTGAAAGCTAATTTGAGACACCAGGTTATTTCAAAAGAGTTACATTATCTTCTTTGAATACTTACAAAAAGTCTAGGAGTTAATTATATTTTGAAGATGAGAAACCTGAGGCTGAGAAATTTTAAGAAAATTCCCATAAAACACATTCATGAGCCCCACTCTTAGTAGTTTGATGAATTTTACTTTATCCATTATACTAAGCAATATCCCAGAGTATGTTTGGATTCACTTTGTCAAGTAACAATTCATAGAATGATGGAGAAAATACAAAGGAGCTCAAATTATAATGTATTTAATTGAAATAAAATAAGGCAGCTCAATTTTTATTCAATAAGCGTATAAATCAGCCCAAAATTTTGGGAACACTTCTATTATCCTGATTTATAATCAAGCTTCCCATTTTGCTTCTTTTATAATATTTATTTTTTGGTTGTAGTTGGAAACAATACCTTTATTTTATTTATTTTTATGTGGTGCTGAGGATCGAACCCAGGGCCTTGCACATGCTAGATGAGCGCTCTACTGCTGAGCCACAAACCCCAGCCCTTACCTTTGCTTCTTAATGCATTTTCCCATTAATTATTTCATT